GGTAAGTTGTAATTCTCTGTATTTACCTGTCTGTCTCTCTAATTTTTTTATGCAGTGGTTTGCCCTATGACCTCACTTCTCTGATGGATCTAATAAGAGTTGCTGATTTTTCAGATTGTTTAGCTTTTTACTTCTTGTTAAGACAGAGTGGCAACTTCTAAGCTCCTTACATGCCAGTCCAGAAATCAGAAGTGCTCAGACAATGAGCAGCTGAAGAAGTGGAGGCCCCTATCAGCTACAGAAGGGCACCAATTCCTGAAAAGTTCAGTTTAAGTCAGGTTTAAGAAGGGATTCACATTTATCGAGCATTTGTTCTGTATAAGGTACCTTGCACTCCCTACCTCTTGCAGCAGTACTCTTAAGTAGGGTTATCATCATGATTTTCTAGAAGAGGAAACTGAGGCTCAAAAAAGACTCAGCAAGTTATCAAAAAAAATATTATGCATTAAGTAGAAGAACTAAAGTTCATTTTCTTGGCTTTAAAAAATGGGCATTTATTGAGCATATGCCATATGTGTGGCAGGCCTTGAGGATATTCAGAGCAGAGCACAGTCTCCAAAATGCAAGAGAACATTGCAACACAGGGTCTCAGGGGTCCTCTGAGAAGGTGTACCAAATATGTAACGACAGAAGGGCTTCTCTGAGGAGAAGCCTGGTCCTGACAATGCACGAAAAAGAGTTATCTGTGACAGAGGTGATGGGTTAAAGGAAGCTTCCGTATAGAGAAAAGGGACTGTGCAAAGCACAACCCACTTGGGGGAACTACAAATGGCTTAGTGTGGCTGGAGCAGTTAGTGCGTTTTGATGATTGGCAAGGGGTAAGTTTAGAGAGGAATATAGGGGTCAAATTCAGATTTGAAAGTTTCCGTTGATTATGCTAAGAGGTTCTGATTTAATTCTGAAATGAACAAGGAGCCAAGAAAGGTTTTAAGCAGTGGGATGCCATGATTGGATTTGCTTTCAGAAAGATCATTTTGATGGATGAGGAGACTGGGATACTGGTTAGGAGAATGTCCTTGTGGTCCCAGGAAGAAAGACTGGGGATGTGAACCAAGGCAGGGGCAGTGGAACTGGAAAGAGGAGGAGCAATTCCTGCACAGAACCAACCAGCTGCCTTATCACACTGATTTAGGGAGGGAGAGAAAGGAAGAAGGCGAGGAAGACATCCTTGTTTCAGGCTTGGGCAGCTGGGGGGATGGTGGTATCATTCACAGAAATAGGAAAAACAGAAGGAGAACAGATTTTGTGGGGGAAGATGGTAAGCTTGGTTTTAGACATGTTGAGTTTGAGGTGCACATGGGAAATCTAACCAGTGCTAGTTAGTAGACAGACATAAGCAACAAGAACTCACCAGGGAGCTCTCAGTGAAGCTGTGATCGAGCTTCTCAAAGGATAATGTGCACAGTGAGGAGAGAAGGGGCCATGCCCAGGATGCTGGGGAGCACCCACATTTAAATAATGGGCCAAAGCAGAGAAGTTCAGCAAGGAAACCAAGAATGAGTGAACCGAGGAAGAGAGAGTGAACACACAGAGGCAGGTGCTGCCACCTGTGGTTAAGAGCAGGAGCTTTGGCCAGGACTGGCTGGCTCAGCGCTCACCAGATCCAGCTCTTCCTTCCTGGGCACATGGGCTCTTTCCTGGGCTCCATTTCCCAGCTTCCTTGCAACTACATAGAGCCAGTGTCTAGGGCTGCCATTGAATGTGAGACGAGGAAATGTGCAATTAAGAGCACGTGGATCTTCCTCAAGCTCTTCTTCCCATCCGTGAGCCCTTTGGAGGCTGCCTGTAAAAGGGTCTCTGGAAAGAAAGCACTCAGGTTTTGAGTTTTAGCACAGCCTAGCCTATCTTTCCTGACTTGGCTCTGCAGTTAGATGGCTGTGTTTGAATCCTGGCTCTGCCTGGCTTTACCTCTTGCCAGCTGTGTGACCTTGAATAAACTGCTTAATTTCTCTATGCCTCAGTTTCCTCATCAATAGAATTGGGATAATACTACTAATGTCTGTCTCATATAGTTGTCTGAGGATAAAATGAGGTAATAAATGTGAAGCACTCAGAACAGTAACAGACTCTAGAAATGTTAGCAGCTAAATGTTGGAGGCGAATGTCAAGAATGGGAGAATGGTTTATGGCAGGGGTCAGCATGGCCTGCAGGTCAAATCTACCCTGTTGCTTATTTTCGTATGTCCTCTCAGCTAAGAATGGGTTTTACATTTTTAAATGGATGAAATAAATCACATTAAAATGATATGGAATTCAGATTTCAGCATCCACAAATAAGGTTTTACTGGAACACAGCCATGCTCATTTGCTTACATATTGTTGCTGATTTTGGACAACAATGGCAGAGTTTGAGTAGTTACAACAGAGACCATATGGCCCACAGAGCCTAAAATATTTACTACCTGGTGTTTTATAGATCCTGTATGATCCCTGGTTTACAGTGTCAAACACAGCAAAGATCAAGAAAGATAACTAAAAAGTGTTAACTGAAATTGGCAATAGGTTACTAGAGACCTTGATAACGGCTTATGGGAGTGAGTGGTGGAAGTAGAAACTAGATTCTGGTGCCAGGCAGATCAAAGCTTGGTTCCTAACTCTACACCTTGCTGGCTGTGTGGTCTTGGGAAGTCACTTGACTTCTGTGAGCTTCAATTTCTTCAGCTGTAAATTACGGATGAAAAGTTACCTTCTTGAGTTATTGAAAGGATTAGCAATAATGCATGTAAACCATAAAACACAGTGCCTGGTTTACAATAGGTGCTCAATAAATGAAAAGTTCTTGCTTCAGTTAATCTGCTGCCACCCAAATTGCTAATCTTTTGTAGATAATGCCTTTTCACTTTTACATTTTATTTTTGTCTTCCATGTTCTGTTTTATAGTATATGTTGAGTCTGTGCTCAAATCTTACCTCTTTAATGAGGCCATTCCATTTAATGTTAACTGTCATATTAAGATCTGTCTTAATAACTATCCTACTAAGATCTGTCCCCCTCCAGCATTCCTAAACCCCTTACTTTGTTCTACTTTTCCTTTTCTCATAGAGCTTATCACCTCTGACAATCTAAGAAGTTTACTAATTTATTACGTTTATTGTTTACTATCTGCCTTCCCTACTAGGATGTAAACTCCTTGCAGCAAAAGTCCTTACCTGTTTTATATAATTATATATTCCAGGTGCCTAAACAGAACCTGGCACACATTAGGTGCTCAATTAATATGTGTTGAATGACTAAATGAAGAAAAGAATAGATGAGTTTTGTTTTTTTTTTTTAAATCCTGCTTAGGACTGGATGTATCCTTCAATCTGGGGCCTGGTATTTTTTCATCTCTGTAAGATTCTCAACTATTATATGTTAAAATACAGCCTCTGCTCAATCCTCTCAATTCTCTCCTGGTATTACTTTTAGAATATGTCAGACTAATCATTCTATCCTCAATGTCTCCTAAATTCTTTTTCATATTTAGCTCTCTCTTTTATTCTAAGGCAGTTTCCTCTGTTCCATCATTAAGTCTCTTTTTAGCTGTGTCTAGTCTACTGTTCAATCTATTAATCGAATTTTTATTTCAATGAAAAATTTTTTTTATATCTAGAATGTCTATTTCTTCCCTTTTCCTTTCTGCCTTTTCCTTTCCATTCTGTCCTGTACTTTTTTCGTGATTTCTAATCTCTTTATCTTTTTGAATATTTTAAATATTCCTATATTAAGATTTTTTTCACATTTTCTTGTTATTTCTAGTTCTTGGGGGTGCGAAGCTTTCCATCTGTTTAATCAGCTGGCTTTCTTGTTATGGTTTATTTCTTTGCACAGTTGTGATTTTAGACCATGAGTGGTTGTTTGGTATTTGCTTCTGCTGGAGCCTTAAAGGTCAGCAACTAGAAAGACTCCAGAAATGTATGACTGAATGGCCTGTCTTTGGAGGCCAGCATAGGAGGCAGCATATTGTGGGTGTTAGGGAATGTGCCCTAAGTTCACATCCACACTATGAAACTACTTGCGTAACTTTGGGCAAAGTATTCTTTCAGTCCTAATTTTCTTGTCTGTGAAGTAGAGATAATTTCTCTTTCCTAGAGATGTTGTGAAGCATTAGTGAGATCATCTACATAAGGAGCTTAGCACAATGTTTTGCATATAGTTAAGTGCTTAATAAATGTTAAAGATTACTATGAATATGTGGTAGCTATTATAGCACCTGTCAATATCTTCTCCTTGCGTTATGATATAAGAAAGAAACTTAATGCTTGTGAAAATAGCTTTGAATGTGTATATGAAATGTATAGCCGGCCATTACATGTGGACACTGGTCAGATTTGTTTGCTTTGTGACATATATTAGTTTAAGATATGAACAAGACCCCCACATAAGAACATGTTCACCTGGCTTCCTGCCATTGCTGAGGAGCACAGATGAGAAGGGGAAGGAAGTTTCAGACATTATCCTTTTTAAAAAATAAAGCCTAATTAGAGAGTTGGACCATTTGCCAACTATTTTGGGTCATTAAAATACTGCAGTAGGGAGAGTTCTTCAGTTGAGAGGAAAATGACCCAGATAAATTTCTTCAGTTTTATTCAAAGAGAAAATACATTTAACTTCTTGGCTATGTTTTCCTCAGTCATTACTCCCTTCCAAAGGCTAGAAATAGAATAGTAGAGCCCTGAGCCTGTAGCTGATGCTTACTAAATACTACTGGTTTATTTGTGGGCAGGGATCAAGACACAGGCACATTCTTGGGCAAAAGAATCTCATTTCTATCTCATGTAACTTTCTATCACAAATCTTTCCATAATTAACAGCTATTTTGTATCTGTGGGTGAGGGAGGGTTAAAGAGCCACACTCAGTGAGTGAAAACTGTAGGCTACTATGATTTATTGTGGAATATGTTATCAGTTATCTGCAAAGATTTCACAAAATGAAGGCATACCATTCTAATTTCAGAAAACATTTACAAAGGCTAAAATTAAAAACATTTAAGTAGAGAATACTTTAAGATTTTAATTACCTGATCTTCATAATCAGAACCTGTATCAATGATCTCTCCAGTGTCCAACATCATCAAAGGATCAAGGTCACCTGAACCTAAGATCAGGAAAGAAAAGATTAGTTGATGGAGGCTGTTTATATATGTTTTTAAAGCAAACAATTTCCCACTAGGTTTCCATTTTCTCCTATGGTTACATTAGATTTGGAAACATTTCTAAACGCTTCCCATCTGTCAGGCACTGGGTTTGGGCTGGAGATTTGGAACGTACAGACTCTGGACACTGTCTCCATCCATAAGAAGAAGGCAAAATCGGGAGGGAGAATAATCTGTCAACAGTAAGGTTCACAAACCAAAAAGAGTGAGCCACTAATTCTGAGTAGAAGTGCAGGTGATGGTGGAGTTAAGATTCTTCACAAGGAACTAGTCCATGAGCCCGAACTTCGAGGGTGAGTATGGGTTGTCCAGGAGGAGAAGTAGTTTCAGGGTGTGCAGTTGTAACTGAGGCAGAAGGAACACTATGAGCAAAGTACAGAGTGGGAGGACAGCCAAGGCTTTCCAGAACTTTCCAGAAATAAGAAGGGCTGAGTTTGCTCACTCTATGAAACCTGAGAAGTTTGTCCTCAAATCTTTGGATCACCTTAGTCCCTGAAGGTGAGGAAAATCAGATGAACTTAAGGTATTAATAGAGAGATTGTTTCCCCTAGGTTCTACAGTTTACGTTAAATCATTTACCCATTCATTCCCAAGGCTCCAACTTAAACTGCTAATTTTCACAATGGGGCTCCTGAAGCACAATTGGTTCATTATACTCATTTAACAACTCTTTCCTGCTGGGAAATATATCTCCCTAACTAGCTAGAAAGAAGAATTCAGTGCTGCCTATAAAATACTATCTGTCTTGTGAAAAAACAAACCATTCCATGTTTTCTGGTAAACTTGGCCTTGCCAAATAATTCTTGGTCACAATGTGCAATAAGTACTGTTTTACAAGGATGTATTCTTTAAAAACATCAAGCATCTCACACACATCTCAGACGTGGACCTGTCCCACAAATACAGAGATGTTGCTTTCATGCTTTCTTCCAAATCAAGAGTTAAGGTTTGCCCTCACAGTCTTTTCTCATCTCTTCTTATTTTTCTTCTTTTCTTCTTGTTATCCCTGCTGTCTACCAAATTGAGTAAGTACTAAGCAGTCACACCATTGTTTACTGTGTTCATGTCTTTACATTTTTTTTTAAAGGATGATAATGTTTTTCAAAATGGAGATACCTGAACCATGCAACCATTTTGGAAAAGTAACCCATCGTAGAGTTGCCACGTGGAGTTGCATAGCTGTATTCAGAATAGCCCTAGGTGATGCCAGTCGCAGCTTGAGAACAGTCTTGCAATTCCATCGTTAATAAGGAGGTTGCTAAAATGGAGATGGGGGAGACCATGCACCCTGCTCTTAACAGCGTGAGACTAGAGGGCTGATGTGGGAAACTTCTATGTATGTTTATAAACACACTTTTAAATTAGTGGGATTATATATAATTTTTCAATGTTGTGCTTTTGGTATTTTTCAAATAAAGAATTTTGTAAGGTGTATCTTAGGGCCCAAATACTTGACCATCTTAAAGCCCAGTCTGAAGGTCAGTCTGCACTTGTGTTGTGAGGCAATACAAATGTCAGAAGCAAAATGTATATTTTTCTTTTTTTTTTTTT